ACTTTATTGTGGTGCTGAACATGGCGCCCGAGTTCAACTGATGGGGATTATAATGCGATATTCCAACAAACCAAAAAAAAACTAACTTCTTCATATAGAAACCTAGAAAAATCACTGAAAACTACTTCAAGGATGAAATCACAAAAGCCAATCTGCATGATGCAACAGAAGTGCAGATTTTTTTTATTTGAATCGCCATTCTCCCAGCTTCTACAATGAGAGTAGTTGCAGAAGTCCCATCAATAGCACTGGAAGCAACTAGCTTGCGGAGAAGAGAGAGAATGTCTTGAAGAAGTGAATAGAGAGACGAAGCTCGACGATTTGGAGGTTGAAAATGAAGACGTCGGTGCTCGCGTCGCGTGCTCGTTACTCGCATGTTTTTGGCTCTTAATTTGGGCTGGGACCTTGATTTTAGGAGGACTAAAATAGGCCCACCCAATCCAGGTCTTAATTCAGACTTTGTTTGGACTAGGGGAGGACTACTAGTTCTAAATAGTCCAATCCCTATCCTAGTCCAATGTAACAAACGTGCCTTTGTTTAGTTTAGTTACCAAGCTAAGCTATGCGCGCGGTATCCCCAGACTTTGAATATTCTTCTGTAAACCTATACATCTACCACCTATTAGCACAATAAACCAAGAGCAAGAAAACTCTCAGCAGCACCCATGAATCATGATAAACCACCTTTTGATCATATTCCAGCAAGGACTCTCGTACACCATTTGCTGCTGGCAAATGATCAAGACAGCTCTCCTCTTTGTCCTTACGCAGAACCTTAGTATATATAGCCCTAGGGTTGTGTTAATATATGTTAATGGGTGAATTTGTACCTAACGGATTAAGACATAATCACACACATAACACCACTGTTTGAGTGGTTCACCCATAATGAGGCCAGGTCACTCATGAAAATGGCATAGAAGATTTGGTCACTTGAACTATGTTAGCCTGAAGATGCTACAAGATAAAGAAATGGTGGTTGGACTTTCTAAGTTGGAAAGTTTTGGAGATGTGTGTGAGGGCTGTGCTATGGGCAAGGCTCACAAAGAAGCATTTGACAAAACTAAAGTGTGGAGAGCTTCACAACCATTGGAGTTAGTACACTCAGATTCATGTGGCCCGATGCAGGTCACTACACTTGGAGGAAATAGATATTTCCTCACCTTCATTGATGATCATACAAAGAAGTGTTGGGTGTTCTTTTTGCAACACAAATCATGTGCTCAGTGTTCAAAATATTTAAAGCCATGGTGGAGTTGCAAAGTGGATTTCAGATCAAGAAGCTAAAATCAGACATAGGTGGTAAATATACTTCAACAAAATTTAGCAAGTTCTGTGAAGACTTGGGGCTTGAAAGGCAATTAACAATGGCCTATTCTCCTCAACAACATGAAGTTGCAGAGAGGAAGAAAATAACCATTGTGGAGATGGCTAGAACAATGCGTCATGAAAAGAGAATGCCTACCAAGTACAAGGGCTCTTAAGAACAAGACCCCATTTGAAGCATTCAGTGGAAGAAAACCTGGAGTAAAGCATATGAGAGTGTTTGGTTATCTCTGCTATACTCATATTCCATCTTAGCAGAGGCATAAGTTAGAAGAAACTAGTGAGAAGGGAGTCTTTGTTGGATATGGAACCTGTGAGAAAGGGTACAGGGTGTTTAAACTAAGAATTCAGAAAGTAATTGTGTCAAAAAGTGTGATATTTGATGAGAAATCTCTTTGGAATTGGGAAACAATTAATGACGATGTGCACATGTCAATTCCTTGGAACAATAGTGAGGAAGCGGGGATGACTGAAGACGAGATGGAGTTTGATTCTCCTAATCAAACTCTATCTTCTCCATGTGCCCGACCTTCATCAAATGATGCCTCACCAAGTACCCGATCTTCATTAAATGGTGTTACACCAAGTGCCCGATCTACATCAAATGAAGCTGAAACGTCTGAACTTTATGATCACACACCTATGAAGTGGAAGAATCTAAATGACATCTTTGCACAATGCAAAGTAAGCATTGTGGAACCTGAAAACTTTGCTGAAGCAACTCAAGATGAGGCTTGGAATCAAGCTATGAGAGAATATATCACAATGATCGAGAAGAATTCTACATGGGAGATGGTTAACAGACATGGTAACAAGCCAATTGTGGGTGTAAGATGGATCTTCAAGATAAAGCTAAATCTTGATGGTTCTATCCAAAAGCACAAGGCACGACTTGTAGCTAAGGGATGCACACAGAAGCCGGGAGTAGATTTCAACGAAACTTTTGCTCCAGTGGCCAGATTGGATACAATTAGAACTCTATTTGCTTTGGTTGCTCAAAGGAATTGGAAACTTTTCCAATTGGATGTGAAATCAGCATTTTTAAATGGAGTGTTGAAGGAGGAAGTTTACATCAAGCAACCTAAAGGTTTTGAAGTTAAGGGAGCAGAAGACAAGGTGTATAAGTTGAAGAAGGCTCTCTATGGTTTGAAGCAGGCATCAAGGGCTTGGAATGGTGAAATTGACACTTATCTACTCAAATGTGGATTTCAAAGGAGTATAAGCGAAGCTACTCTGTATGTGAAGACTAAAGAAGGTATTAGTATAGTCATTATGTCAATATATGTGGATGACATTGTGTACACTGGAAGCAACAGTGAAATGATGAAAGAGTTTAAGGAGGATATGATGATTAAGTATAAGATGACCGATCTGGGCTTGCTGCATCATTTCCTAGGAATGGGGGTAATCCAGAAAGAAGGGAGAATCTTCATTCATCAACATAAGTATGCCAAGACTCTGCTTGAAAGATTTGGTTTGAAGGATTGCCAACTAGCGAGCACACCACTAGTTCCAATAGAAAAACTCAAAAGAGAAGACGAAAGTGAACTTGCAGATGAGGAGACCTATAGGAAAATTGTGGGGAGTTTACTGTATCTTACAACAACCAGGCCGGACATTATGTATTCAGCTAGTTTGCTTGCCCGATTTATGCATGGTCCCTCAAAGAAGCATTTTGGAGCTGCAAGAAGAGTACTGAGATATGTGCAAGGAACTTTGGATTATGGCATTGAATATGAGTCTAGAAAGCTAGCTATGTTGATTGGATTTTGTGATAGTGATTGGAGTGGTTCAGAAGATGACATGAAAAGCACATCGGGCTATGCCTTTCATTTGGCAGTGGTGCATTTTCTTAGGCCTCAGTAAAGGAAAATAGTGTTGCTCAACTGCAGAGGCTAAATATGTCAGTGCTGCAGAAGCAACAACTCAAGCAATTTAGCTAAGATTAGTGCTGGAGATTTTGGAGAAGAACAACTTGAAGCTACACCAATCAAGTGTGACAACACATCGATTATAGCCATGTCCAAGAATCCTGTGTTCCATCAAAGGTCAAAGCACATAGGAAGAAAGTTCCATTTCATTATAGATGCAATTCAAGAAGGAGTGGTGGTTCTGATCTATTACAAAGGTCAAGATCAAGTTGCAGACATCTTCAGGAAGGCATTATCAAAGGAAAGGTTCTGCATTCTAAGAGAGCTTCTTGGAGTGAAATCAGCAAACCATTTAGAAGGGAGTGTTGATGTGTAAATTGGTTTTACTGATTTACTTTTACTATTTTACTGTTTACAGCTGGAATGTCTAAGTAACAGCTTAGATTCTTTTTCTATTAGGAGAATTTTGTGTGGCTCAAATGCCTATAGGAAATTGCCAAGTGTCATGCACACATTGGTGGCTCAATTTTGTAATGATTTGGATGTAGTTGTTTTTGCTATGCATACAAACTTTCATTTGCTGAGCTATTTTCAGCAACAACATATTCGGTTTTGCATAAATAATTCTTCCAGCTCATTCTTTCATCTCCTTCCCTTTTCTCCATAAAATCCAAATCAGTACCTAATATTCCAACAAGAGATGCTTGAGAGCTATAGTAGAAGAGAAATAGAGAGCTTGGGAGAGCTTTGGATAGCTCTTAGAGAAGTAGAGAATGGCAGCTGATGGTCCCCTTGCTTGGAGGTGGTGAGTTCCCTTTTATAGACCAAGTTGGAGTAGATAAGGTTGCTTGATTGTTGGGATTTTTGCATGGCTCCCCTTGATTTGGGGTCTTGGGCATTGAGAATGCATAGGAGGTGGCATGGCTACTCTTTATTTGTTGGGATGTGAGATATGACAAGCAAGGGTTATCCCTTGATTTGTAGGATTTACTTAAGAATGACGTGAGGTCAACATGGTGTCAACAATATATACACAAACTATTATTTTGTAAAGCATTCAGAGGTGCCACATATATTATTTTTTACATGTCTAATGCTACTTTTACCACATTTTCATACTACTTTTGTGGCAGATGAGATGGACAGCCACATTAATTAAAATTATTTAACATTTTCTTTTTTCGTTATGATTTATTAACACTTAAAAAAATTGTTAATTAAACTTTCTTTATTAAAATACCATTCATAAATTTAATTGATGTGACATATGATATAGGCATACCATATCATGTGATATAAAAATATTAAAAGTGTAGCATTACTCTTTTCAAATTGATATCAATACAATCAAACTTTTTCTCTACCACACTGCAAGGTTTCCATTTTTACAAAAGCTTTCACCACCGCCGGCATCTAAATAAAGTCAATGAATCAGGGCCCCACTGGCGTCTATAGTAGATGAATCAGGGCGCCGAGAAAAAATAGCTAATAATTGGTACTTACCAAAAGCACCAAACAAATTAATTTATGCTCCACCACCAAATTATTATTATTTTCTTAGACTTCCATTAATCGCTCCTGTGTAATGATATAAAAGAATCCTTTTTCCAAAAAAAAAAATTGTTGAAAGATTAATTTTGGATGGTTTCAAACCGCGCTAGCCCTCATGGGCTCTGTTTCTATGTTAACCTATGATAATTATGTAATGATATGTAATGATATGTAAGGGTGATAATTATGTAATGAGCCCTCATGGGCTCTGTTTCTATGTTAAGGGTGAGGAAGAAGAAGAAAGAAGAAGAATAAATCAAAGATAAAAACAATTGTATTAGACTGTAATGATATGTACAATGAATGAGAGTCATATCTCTAAGATAATTACAAAGTCTAACAAGTGCTTCCTCACAGAACCACTCCAAGTAATGTATTTTCCAGCAATCGCTTGCCTTTTTCATTTTTACTGGAGGCCGAGTTGGTTTCTCTATTGGCCATGGAGTCGACTTGTTTTTCTTTCTCGTGGCCTTTTATGGACGTGGGTGTTGCCAAAACCGAAAATTCCTACCCGGTCAGCTTTGCTCCCCTTAATTTGATTGCCAACAATGTTGAAGACATTGCCGCTTCTGCCCTTCCTTTTCTTCCGACCTCTCACATTCTTGGAACTCATTTCTGGGGACTTGGAGCTGCTGTTTCTGTTTTGGTGGTCGATCTTCACTTCAGAAATATCCTCAGAAACCAGTTGCTTGGGATGACCAGTAGGCGTCAGAACTAGGCGGTCTGTAGGCATTTTCTTTACCTTCAGGCAATGTCTTGGCAACTCAAGTTTTTGAGGGTCTATATAGTTTTTCTTCAAGTACCTTCAATAAAAATAAGACAAACGTGAAAACATTAAGACATGTATTTGTGAACATAGTGCTTCCGAAAAAAAAAACTAATTGAATAGTGTTATTTAAGAGATCCTTCAATGGAAACCTATAACAACATATATGTTTTACTTAATAAGCGAAACACATCAATAAACCAACAGAACCAAATTTTCTCTAGACCTAGCCCTACCTGTGCCTTGACCTCTTTTGAGCTTTCGAGTCACATCGATGGTGAGTACCATACTTGTTGCCAATTAACTTTCCATGCTTCTTCTTCCGAACACTACTAGGGCTCAAGTCTTGAAAAGTAAAACAATTGATACCAACGTTGAAAGTTTCATTACGATCTCCTTTGTTTCGGCTAACTCGATTGCCGCACACTTTATAACATGTCTTGTTAATAATGTCATAAGGCTTGCTTTTCTTGAGCTTCTTTTTAAGCACAGCATCATAATCAGGAGCGTGCTGTGACATTGGGTAGTTATAGACAGCAGGAGCATGCTTCGATTGATAATTATAGAGTGCAGGAGACAGAGTATGATATTGATCGTGACATCCATATAATGGAGGGCCAGGAACAGAAGCTGCATGATTGGCGTAAATATTATAATACTGATTGGGAACTGGTGCAGGACAAGGACATCCAGGAGGACTAGTAAAGCAGTTGGTGTTGTATAATACTGGCTCTGGACAAAAGTGCAGTATTGGCACAAAGCATGCGTACAGCAGATGGGTGGGTTCCATTTTGTTTTTGAGAGGCTTAAAATTAAAGTTCATAGAATAATTAATCGGATCTGCTTAAATTGTTAGATAGCGGATGGTCTCACTCAATGTGTTATATAGTTATAAATGATGAAGGAGCTAGCCTGGAGTTTTCATTTGCCATTTACTTCCTACTTACATAGAACTTTACCTTCCGTGTCTAAGTGTCTTAATCTTTTTCTTTCCCCCGGTGACAAACGGAACCTTCACAACCACGGAAAATACAAGGGGGTGATTTGTGTATTTCAGAGCGGTAGATGAAAAGAGATTTCCATATGCTCTTGTCGCGTTTGAGTAATAAGAACGTTAGACAAAGAGAGATTTCTTCCAATTTTGTCCCCAGGGCAGAACTAATATTTTATTTTTTCTTTTATAGGGGTGGGCTATTATTTCTTATGCGGGTAAAGATCTGAATAAAATTTCATTCACATGCTCAAAGAAGAAAACTTGAAGCTTGAAATGTTTGTGGTATGGTATGGCTAACAGGAGATCTACTTTTATAGGATAAGGTAATTTTTGCTTCGATGGACTAGGCTAATTTTTGTGGAATGAGCCCACCCGCCTTTGATACTCATTTGATGTTTCAATTTGAATTGGATAAAAGTTGAGTCCAAGTCAATCCTTGACAAGTAAGAGATGATGTTTTTGTTAGCCAAAAATTTTAAATTTTGATGTTGCATGTTTAGGTATTCAACGAGCCGAAGAGCAAAGGCTTTCGTTTTGTTAGCTAGGACATAGAGCATATGCCATGACTGTTGAATGCTGGCCCAAATTATTGTCCCTGCTTTCTTTCCTTTGATGCAGCGAAAGTTGTGGTTTGTTGATAGAGTTATTTATTAACTATTGGACAAAGGAAAGAGGAAGCATGCAGCAAATCACGTGGGAAAGTTTTGAATGTTGGTGTGGAACAGCTAGTGGAGAACATTCAGCAGGAAGTGCCGAAATGTTTGACTCAAATATGATGTGGGTGGTTTTGGCATTATTTTAATGGCACTATTTGTTCCCCCTTTTGTCATATGTATGTGAGTGATTTGGGTGTATTTGGAATTTGGGTTGTGAGGGTTAAACTATGTAAACCCCAGGATAGGTGAGAGAGTTAATCTCCTTTGTTTGTAATCTCCTTTGGGATATTAGTGGAAATTTTTGCCATCTTTCAACTGGATGTCGGCTACACATGGGCTGAACCAGTATAATCCTTGTGTCTCTTAGATTTTTGTATTTCATATTTTGCTCTTATTGTTTCAATGGTTTCATATTCATCATTTCAGTGCAATCCGCTTCCACTGCGCACAACAATGACCCTGTCTGGTTCGCGAAAAGAATTTGATGGGAAATAATTTCCCATGTCTTTTCCCAATGGATGAGAAATGGAAGATTCATTTCCCATATTTGGTCATGTTGGGAAAATAACAAGAAAATACCACTTCATTTCATTTCCCATGTTTGGCTTGCATAGGAAGGAATGTAAAAGAAAGTTTGTTTAATTTTTGAATTACACCCATATTAGATAAAATTAAATAAAAAAAATTATTTAATACTATATTGTAATTCTAAATTGTTACTGTGGACAAAATGTGCATTTAATGCTACTTTAATTTTACATGGGAAGGGAAAATGAAACCTCTTGAGGGGTGGAGGGTTGCATTTTCCCCCTATTTTCCCATGTACCAGGCAACCATTTCTTATGGACTTACTTAAAATGGGATATTCCCAAACCTCATTTCATATGAACCAAACGGCCCTGAATGGAATGTGGCAGCTAGTGTAGTTCTAGTTTGTTCATTTTTAAGACTCTTATAGGGTCCATTTAGATGTAGTGATTCCAAATTTAAGAGTTTGGATGTCATTACAAAGTTTAATTTGTTTATTTCAAAGGGTGTATTCAATTAAGATTTTAGAAGAGTTCAATGGAGTTACTAAGTTTATAGAGTTCAATATATTTTAATTGATTTCTATAAACTCCACATAGAGTTTGACTAAATTTCTGAATTGATTTGAATGGTGTTTGTTAGAGTTTTATCATAGATTTGAAAAAAGTAGATTAGAGTTCTAAAATGTTATTTTCTTATTTACTTTTTTTTTTGGGCTATTTATTATTTTTCCAGATTTTCAAAATAGAAAAATACCTTTACAAAAACATAACATCCAAACATTATACATCAAAAGAAAATAAAAAAGAGCATCTGTTTTGTTCAAATGTGCAACCAAATAAGGATTTATGTCCACGTGTTTATGAAAAATGTGCAAAAGTCAAAACATAAAAGTTAATTCATGACCAAAAAAATGATAAGTAAACTACAATTATATATGCATAAAAACGAACAGGTATCTGCTTCAATGCTCAGCTTTGACTCCCGTCATTCATAGCATCTCTCCACATATCTAAAGATACTCCAACCCTCCATTGGTTAGAATTTTTGCATTGTTGTTCTTGGGTTTGAAAAACTTGGTCATAATTATTTCCTTCATTTCCTAGTAACAATGACGATTTTGAATGGCCGTTGTCTCCTTCAATAGGAAATTCATCACAATGACACTCCTTGTGCAGAAAATTGTGCAACCCTGCACAAGCTAAGACCAAATGTGCTTGTGTCGTATATGGAAATGGAGGCGCAAACTTAAAAATTGTGAATTGTGACTTAAATATACTGAATATTCTCTCGATTACGTTTCTCAAGGAAGCATGACTAAGATTGAACAACTCAGTTGCATTTTCGGGATCACGACCTTGACCAGAAAATCTTGAAAATGATATTGAAAACCTCGAAACGGAGCTAAAAATTGACATCGATTTGGGAATCCACAATCCACTAAGAAATATTTACCTGAATATACGACATAGGTCCAATTAATATTTACAATACTACCTAATATAGACAAACATAAATAAATATGTAGCCCCCAATGGAGCCTCCAAATTTGTGTCTAGAAAAGGTGATGAAGTAAAATTTCAAGATGACAAAGTTTGGTGTGGTGTTTCATTTTGACTTGGTACAAATGCCTCATTGGTATCCTACAATCTCGTAAGTCTACTTTCTCCAACTTCATACGTTCTAGCATCGGTATTATCACCAAGTCCAATTGAGTTTTTTCTAGCAGCCATTCCATTGCCAATTGCAATTACCAAGTCCTCATAGTCTGCAAATGTTTCTCTTTGAAGATGCACTTGACTTGGGTGGGACTAGCAAAAACCAAAAATATAGAAGAAAACAAAATTAATAACATGCAAGAAGTACGAAAGTGAAAGTTATCAATATAAAGTAATATTTCACAAAATTGAAATATAACCTTAAAGTAATTTTGCCATACTTCTTCAGTAGCTGTGAATTTCGTTGTGACAGAGTCCCACCCAAATGCAAAACTATGATGCATATGCTAAGTAAAACTGTGATATCTTTTCTTAAACCATTTTAGACGACTCTCACATTGAAGATAAGTTTTTTGACATCCAAGTTTTGCATTAAGAATAGGAAGTATCTTGCTTTCTACTATTTGCTTGCTTAGCAAACCATTAGAATCACGCCATCCACATAGCTCCGTCACTTCGAGTGATGAAAAAACTAGTATATAATAAGAAAAATTTGGTAATACTCAATATAATGCAAAATAATAAGGATATAATCAATTAGCTAGTTCTGTTTTGGGTTTAGTCATCTATTTTTGTTAGCTTGAGGTCAATCGGCCTTCTTAAGGGCTTCAGAGCCAGTGGTGGATCCACCATGGGGTCAATGGGGTCAGACAACCCCATGGCAGACCTGGAAATGGCTTAGAGGTCCCTTATTGGCCTTGGCAGCCATGGGAGATGACCCCATGGAGAAGAAGATATGCAAGCTGTGAGGGAGAATAAAGAGGGAGGAAGAAGAAGAAGACAGTGATTGAGAGGGAGAAGAAAGAGAGAGGAAGACGAGAGAGAGAGAGAGAGAGAGAGAGAGAGAGAGAGAGAGAGAGAGAGAGAGGGAGGAAGAAGACTGTGATTGAGATGGAGAAGAAAGAGGGATTTCGACCAAAAAAAAGGAGAAGAAGAAGGCACTGCAAACACAAATAATAATAAGAAGGGAAGAGATCTGTTAGGGTTTTTTAAAATATTTTTATAATTATGTTGGATAGACATATAAATATTAAAAGTATACATAAATAGAGTAAAGATATCACTACTATAGTGGCCTCTTAATTGAAAAAATCTTTTTGGTCAAGGGTTCAACACCCATTGTGCTCTTTTTGTTGTAATATTCTAGATATTTTATTATTTGGGTTATTTTATATATATATGGGCTTGATTTATTGAATGATGTTTTTGTTAATTGGAATAAATTTGGCGTGTTTTTTAATTTTTTTAGCATTGTTTTTATCTTAAAAAAATTCAAAACTTTAACACTATGACTCCATGGAGTAACAATCCTGGATCCGCCACTGTTTAGAGCCTGTTTAATTTGTATTTGTAATGACGTTTTTATCCTTTTGTTTATTTTGAGCTAGATCTCTGAGTCTCAGGCTCAAAGACACACGACAGACATGGTGAGTTCGAGGTCGCGTACAAGGTCCCTCCTTCGTTCGATCGCAAAGTGGTCCTCTCTCTCTCTCTCTCTCTGAAATTCAATTTTTCTCTAAGAAGGATGAAACAATGGTGAGATGAGAAA